ATAAGAGAGCCTCACAAACACATCGTTGCTGAGGTCAGTAATGCCAGCTCTCCCGACTTCCAGATTCTTAAGAGGTGTGAACTGTTCCTTTTATAGTTTTGACGGCGTTAGTTGCCTAACTGCCCAGAGCTCTGTGATTAAAACAGAAGTACAAGCAGGAACAGAAACATAAAAGATTATAAATGCATCTTTCTTAGCCGAAGATTTACACAGCATGGAGCTTTTTTGTGAAGGTGACAGGAGGCATAAAATGTTACAGCATCACACATCAATATAGATCTATATTAAAAAAAAAAAAACCTTTGAAAATAAATATGGATGGTGTGTGATTATTAGTAATCATGTTCCTCCACTTTAAGAGAAAGCAGGAAACACACTGCAAGATCAGCGTAAGATGCTCAAACCCGGTGGAGAAAGAGGTAATGCCTGCAAGAGGAAAAGCAAAGCTATGTTTAAGTGGTATATAGCAACAGTGTGGTTGCTTAAGTATCTACTTTAATACTACTACCTGATTAAAAGCCAAAAAAAAAAAAAAAAGACCATTCTCAGTTACACGAGTGTAACAAAGTAGCCTGCAGCTGCTGCGTCTCACAGAACAGAAGTTTACACTTCACTGCTCTCAAAAGCAGCAGCATATACAACGAAGAGAGAAAATCCAAGTTTGAGTCTTCTGCAAGATTAGGAGGCTGACGTGGCATTCCCTACCCAGTCACAGGCAGCTCACAGACTTGGTTAGATCAGTCCAGGCAAGAATGGAAAGCAGATCTAGCCTTCTCTGTGCATCATCTCCCCGGTCTACGTTGCACAACAGAAACAGAGATATTCATAGCTCTGGGTCTACTCACAGACTGCACTCAGCAAAGGTTGCATTTTATTAAAAAGCCCTGCAGGGACCTATAGTGCTGCCTAAGTGCCTGCTCAAGGATCACAGTACATATGTGCACATGCAAAGTGCAATGCAAAATAAAGCAGTTTCAACCGAACAGACTAAATGAGTTTCCTATCAGCTAATCAAAGCAGCACCCCACGTAAGTAGCAATCCACATCCCCCCAGCACAGGTGTCAGATCTCCCTGTGCTGCATAGGGAGATCTTAGCCATTCAGAGCTGTATAGATTCTGCTACCTAAGAAAGTCCCTAAGTTCTTCTACACATGGCGACCACAGCATTCCTGTGTTTTGGCTTTCTGCAGACACGCTGGGTGCTACAAAGTTTGAGGTGCAGTGGAAACATACAAACATCACAGAGGATTTTGGTAGATCTGCTCCTGATCTAAGACAACTGTCTCCAAGGAGAGTTTGGCATTTTTAAATGATCAACTAAAATATTCAGGTGGCTGAATACCAGTGCAGGTTTGATAATAAGAGATACATACAAATTGATGCTTTCCTTTTTCCTCTATCATGACAGATTTACTACTGAAGCTGTAAACAAGTCTGTACATAAGGACTCCAACTAATGTAAATATGAGTTTACAGTAAGACAGAAATGCATAAAAGTAATTTATACTGAAAGGCACGTTTTGAGCTGTCAACATTTCATTCATTTGAATACAACACTGAGCAGTAAGAAGAGACAGCCATAATCATCCCATATTAATTCAAATTGCAAGAAGGTGAAGGTCGGGGGACAAAAAGAAAAAAGAAAAGCAGTATTTGTCAGATGGAAAAGGACAAAACCAGTTGGAAAAGGATTTTATTTTTCAGACTTCTAAGAAAATTTACAAACAGTAGTGGTGTAAAAAAAAAAAAGACACCCTATAAAAAGTGTTGACAGTTTCTCAAACTACAGCATCAAATGAAGTTACAGAGCAACAAACAGTACAGTATAATGCTATTCCTCAAATTAATAGCAACTAAGTAGCTGAAAATTGAATAAGTCTAATAATAAATCTCGGTAGCTTACTTAGAAATCCCACAGCAATCCAACATTCTGAGCTTAAAATATTCTTAAAATACACACAGATTTCATCTGGGCATTAATCTATAGCACTGAAATCACCTAGGCAAAAATTGCATAGCAGAAGGCACGTCTTGCAAAGGTTATAAAGAGAGACATCACGTGCACACTACAGTCATATACAGCAGAAAGCAAAACACCCTGTATATTTGCTTATTAATCCCCAACGCATATTATGAAATACAATATAGAAATAAAAAAGCAAAATTTAGTAGTTTCATTCATGCTTGTGCTATTCTTCATCCACAGTGAAACAGAAAGTCTTCCTCCTCCTTTTTTGTTTGAATCCCTCTGTGTTCATCGTCAACTTTGCCACTAGCACAGCAGGTGCTTCCTAATCTAGACAATCCCCATCACCAATGCTACCATCACTTCCACATATGCGTGTTATCACCCTGCATCCTGCCTCCAGCTCTTCACATAGCTTCTCTCAGCTCCAAAACAAAGATGACATGCCCAAACCTAACCTTGATTTGCTATAGATTGCATCCAAGGTAGCAAACAAAGGCATACCTGTTTTACTCATGCTGCAGGCTTCCTGCTATTCACTCACTTTAAATAGCAGGCATGTAAAAAAACAACACCACAATTTAATTAACAGCTTAATTTGAAATCGCAAAGGCACTCCAAACACTGGCCCAGTAAAGCCTTCTGAACATGAATTCCAGTCAGTGTGAAACCTGGTGTCTCATTAATTCGTAAATGAACTTCCCTTGGCCCTAACCATATCTCAAATTAATTCTGATCAAAGCATGAGAAACAATTATTATTTTTAGTTAGATCACGTAGATTTGTGCTTTCACTGTATTCAGCATGAGAAAAGCCAGACAAAGCATCCATTAAATACTGATAAAAGAACTTATTTTGACAGTTTAAGACAATGTACCTAAAAGTTACTTTTTCTTTCCAAAGTGAAAGTGAGTCCAATCATTCCTTTTAGTGAAAGTTCTTTCCCAAATACTTCCAGTCAAGTAGAAGAAAGGGAAAAGAAAGAAAAAACAAACAAGCATGCACATAATGTGAAAACACCATTAAAAAAATAGAGTCAGTAAGAATGTTCTATCAGTGTCTCTCTGTCACTAAATTTGCTTAAATAGCGACTATTCCTGACACTCTTACTAATTAATGTTAATGGGTAATTAGAATCAATGTGAAACCTGTTGGCTCTTCACCAAAAAATATATATATATATATTTTTTTTTTTATATGTATACACACAAATATATATAAAAATAAAAAGATCTGGCTGCGTATGTCATGAAAGTGAACAGGCAGTTAAAAGAGGAGCAGCATAATTTTGCCTTTAAATGTTCTGACTAATAGAACAGAATCCTTACTTTCAGTTGCCTGTTTGCCACAGACTTCCAGGGTAAGTTTCAATAAATGCATATCTGAAGTGACAACTGAGATCACCCAGAAACATTTAGGCCATGTGAGCTAACTCCATGCCAGCTAATTCTCCCCTGCTACAACAAAGCCATCTTGGGGCTTGCTCTTCTCAGAGTAGAGACCTTCTAGGAATCGCTTTCACGCATTCTTTTCCACTTCTTTTTGACTGAGACAGCAGACACAAAAAGCCAGCAGCAGAAACTGTTTTCCTCAGCTCAAAAACAGCAGAAGCTGGAGGCTGGACCTCAGCCCTTGCATCCAGTCAAGCTTTCAAAATGAGGCTGGGGGGCTTGCAAAGATGGCCTTGGAAGAACACTGTTCCTAACAATGAACGTAGACACAACCTTACCCTGCTACTCGAGCATTTTCTTGCCTCCCAAATGACACAAATACAGGGCAGTGTCCAAGGTCCTCTCACACTGCTGAGACAGATGCTACACAAGCACCTCAGGCACAAAGGATTTTCTTGTTTTCAGACATGAACACAGCCAAAGATGCAAATGCATAACACACCACAAGAAGAAAACTGCCCCTCAAGGCTTTTTATTTCTTTTATAGCTTCCTATACACTCAAGCCCTTTTCATAGCAGTATTTATGTAATCCCACCAGCTGAATTAAAAAAAAAAAAATATATACATAATTGAACCATAGTATTTAATCCTTCATACAAAAATCTTTGCTGATTCCCCACTTCACACATTCCTAATTTGAGCACACACTCTGACCTTACCACCATTTCAGCAGGTCTGACAGTTTTACCTTCATCTTATTTACCAAAACTAAAGTATTCTCCAGAATAGATAAAAACAAATATTTTCTCCATGCCTTGCAGAAAACTTGCTGCAATAAAAAGCCAAGAATTTAACAGGGTTCAGGAAGAACTCTAGAGGGAATAAAGACATTTGACAATATCTGTAACTATGTGTTTAGAAAAGCGTATGAACCTCCATGTCTTCTGTGACTGGTGATCAAGGATAACTTTCCCTGTAAATGCACTGCCCAGTAGTAGATCAGTAATGGATTTTTGAATAGATCCCCTAAAGCATCTCTCAGTGGTCAGTTATAAATACAATAAGGTGATTTGTCTTGGACTGATATGCTAACCAGACTATCTTCTCTTTCCCTAGTAAGAAGCTTCACTAATCTGCCGTCTTCTTGTGCAATATATGCTCACAAATTACAACAATAAAGAAAAACATGAAGAAAGAAAAAAAAAAAATGCTACAGCCATTCCAAAGAGGAGCACATAGTACATAGCCTCAACCTTCTGTCTTTTGAAATACCAGCAGCAAGACAGGCCAGTGTTCTCCATACCAAGTTGTTATCATTATGGGACAAATTCAGTCCTCTCATGTGCCTTTGTAATTTCTCTCTCTGTCACTGCAAGCTATTCACATACACTCAAAGAAAAAAATTGGTCAATTTAAAAGCAACGATTGATGGGCTATATTACTCAAGGGTTCTCTTGATCAGGCATAGATTTTGAGGAAATAATGTATGAAGCCTCTCCACTTGAGCATAAACAATACAAATATAATTACCTTAATTAAAATGATAAAGGAAATAACATGACTTGTAAGTTAAGCCATTTAAAATTAATCATGCTATATTAAGTAAGGCTTGTTAGCATCTGCTCAGCGTTAGGTATTTACCTTTAGTCCACCACAGATTGGACAAGCTGAAAAAAGAGCTCTTGTCATCCCAAGGTGGGGGCTACATGTGTCATAGGGGTCAGCTGAGGCTCCACTAGGTGGCGCTAACTCACTACTTTTGGAGTCAGACACCTGTCCTGGTGGTTTTGCATCTGACCACCTCGAAACAAAATCCACACACGCCTCATTACTTGAGTCTTTGGTGCTTTCTGGGAGTAAGGATGACGGTCTCCCTCTGTCCTGGCTGTGCTCTGGTGCCCTCTGTGCTTCTAAGTGTGGAAGGAGCAGTTTTGGATCATTAGCACCGTGAGGCAGGGCCTGGTCCTTGGGTAGCGTGGAATCTGCACTCTTGGGTTGCACATCTTTAGCAGCTGCCTGTAACAAACTCCTGGGTATATCATAAATATGTCTGAGAGAGCTGGGAACCTGATACTCTGATCCCACACCTCTCTGAGGCTCACTGTGAGGACAAGTACATAAATTCTGATCCGAAGGAAAGTTCAATGGCAGGCTAAGCAATGATCCAAACTCATCGCCATGGCAGATGTCCAAGCTCCCAGCATAGGAAGAGAAGCTTCCAGAGTAAGAAGAGTGACTACCAGTAGCTATTCCACTGTCAGATGAACTCTGACGGCCTATCTCTTGCAGTTGTCTGGACCGAAGGGGCTTTGGAGGCGGTTTGGCGATGCCACGTGCCCCTTCTGGATGGATCTTTTCTTCCCCAAGATGAACGCCCTTTGCAGCTGCCAGTCCATGACTCTCTTGTGAAGTGCTGGCTGAAGACTGTTCAGGCCAAATTGTCAATCTGCTCCCAACGCTAACATCCGAGTGGCTGGTATCTGAAGATGAGCTTGAAAGACTTCGATCATCTCCTACAAAAAGGAAGAAAAGAGATCAGCCCATGTTTAAAACACAGCACACAGACTGGAAGCAGGGCGAGTACACACAGAAAGAACCCTGATATTCCATCTCCTTTGTAGAGGGATCTTCTACTGGAACGCCATCATTCCTGCAATTATCCCTATTGCTGCTGGAAAAATAATGGGCAGATAATATTTTTAACACAACCCTACCACACTGTGTAATACACTGCATTCAGGACTACATTTTTAGAGTTCATGCAGCCAGCTCTCCTCTTTTTACACGTGTTTCACTACTGTACAGTTAACTAGCTTTATTTTAAATACTTCAGTCTTATATCACAGGGAATCGTCACAAGCTTTCAGAATAGCTGAGAGTGCTCTGAAAGAAAAAAAAAAAAAAAAAACCCACAAACTTGTTAATGTAATCCAGAAGCATATAAAAGATTTCAAAATTTCTATTGAAATTGAATGAACCAGAAGATTGTGGTACTTTTTCTCAAGTCTTATCTGAATGACATCAAAATACATGTTAGAAACAGAAAAATAAAATCAAACTTGAGACTGTCCTGTTCTCTGCTGTCTTCTACATTGTATTTCTCCATAATATCCATACTAAAAGACAATAATACAACACAGACACAAACAAAAGTGAGAATGCTACTACATTTACATATCTATACAGAAAAAGATCTAATGTACAATCTGCAAGATTTTTTTCTTCAGGGTATTCACAAATGACCTCCCAAACCTACAGAGACTCTTGGTATTATAATTTCTCACAAATGTTTAATTTTCCTGTGCAGAACTCAACAGAATATGAAAAGCTCACTTTGTGATTCCTCATTCAGCCACATAACTGACCACAGAGACTGGATTTAAAAAGCAAACAAAAAAAAAGAACTCAGGCATGCTTTTCTATCGTATTACAATATTACATCAGTCTGGTAGCTCTATCTAAGAGAGACTTCCACAAGGGTCAGTGGCATTTAGTCACAAACCACATTACTCAGCAGTGACTGAAGTGGCCAAGGACAAGAATACCCTAAATGAAACATGTTGACCATTATTTTATTTTATTTTATTTTCCTCTAAAGCTCATCATCTTATAATTACATATACACGGTTCATTGCTACAGCTTGGAAAATAAGGGAATACCACCTATATATAATTAAAGTTACTTACCTCCGCTGCCCTGGCGACTTGTATGAGACAGCAAGCTCAAGCGCTTCTCTAATTGCAAAGCTTCATGAGCCAATCTTTCTTCTGAATATGCCGGATTTGTAGTTGGATCTGTAAAAGGAACATAAAATGAATAAATCAAAAAAGACATGGAAAGAATACATGAATAGAAATTTAAAAGCATTTTTATGTTAGATACTCTGTTTTTGCGTTATAAGAGAAGGAAAACATCGATTGGAAAACGTCTGGGACATCCTTCCATCAAATAGAGAATCCTGAAGAAATGCAACACAGTCACAATTTTAAGTGCCAGTGACTTTCAAAATTGTAACTAGAATTTGTGGAGCTTACCACAAGCCCTGAAAAACACAGCATTAGAGGCAATAGCTACTGGAATAATTAACAGGTCTAGAAGAGTTTAAAGCTAATAAATGACCTGTAAAATGTGTCCTGACTTCACTGAACTCACTAGGAATTTCATCAAGACTACAACTGTTTCATCCTACAAATATAAAAATCATAATAAAGTTACAGTTATAATAAATAAACTATTTTATACCCTTATAACTGACCCAGATCAGCTATTTAGAAAGATACTGCTTTCTAGTTTGATGTTTAGAAGGCTATTAAGTCCAGAAGTCAGAGATGAAGCATCACAAAAGGGCCTCTGTCTGCCTATTCAATACAAGATAAAATAGAAGTACAAAAACACTACTAAAATAGAATCATGGAATCACTGAAGTTGGAAAAGATCTCTGAAGATCACCTACTCCAACCGTTGACCTGTCACCATGCCCACTAAACCGTATCACTCAGTGCCACATCTACCCTCTTCTTGAATGCCTTCAGGGATGGTGACCCCACAACTTCCCTGGGCAGCATGTTCAAATGCATCACAACTCTTACTGAGAAGAAATTTTCCTAATCTCTGGCCTGAACCTCGCTTGAAGCAATTTAAAGCCATTACCTCTTGTCCTAACACTAAATACCTTTGGAAAAGAAGTCAACCTTCTCTCGCTACAATGTCCCTTTGGGTAGTTTAGACAGGAATAAGGTCTTCCCCGAGCCTCCTCTTCTCCAGTCTAAATAACCAGAGTACCTTCAGTCATTCCTCATAAGGCCTGTGTTCCAGATCCCTCACAGCTTCATTGACCTTCTTTGGACACACTGCAGGGCCTCATTGTCTCACTTGTAGGGAGGGGCTCAAAACTGAACACAGTGCTATATAGGCGATTTTCCTCATACATTTTAGTGAGTTTGCCCTACCAGCTAAAACTGCTTTAACTGAAGGTACTTTCTTTTCCAAAAGAAAGATCAACAGATATACAGAAGATGGAATAATTTTCATCAGAAAAACAGTATGGTCTCTTATAAACAATTTTGTTTCCAGCTGGGCACAGCAACAAAACCAGATAACAAAAGAAACCATCATCACAAGAGAAAGCTCACAGATTTCAAGTGGCACTAATAGTTGTGTCACATTCAGCAATTACAGAGGATATTGTCTGCTAACTTGCTCATTATCAGAACCATAGAAAATCCAAGGTTGGAAAAGACCTCCAGCATCATGTTCCAACCATCCACCTACCACCAATATTTCCCCACTAACCATGTCCCTTAGTACAGCATCTAAACATTTCATGAACATCTCTAGGGATGGTGACCACCTCCCTAGGCAGAAGTTTTAGTAGGGTTCGTAATTATCTAGAGAAAGTAATTAATGACAGATAAAACAGATTAGTTTCCTCACAACTAAAGGTTTTGCATATCCAATCAAGTTGGTCAACTTGATCAACACAAAAAATATTTAATCCCTGAAAATTATTTAATAAGGAGGGAAGAATGAAAAAGGCTATACGTTGCTGTGGTTAAGTTAGTAAAACAAACTAAAACAAAAAAAACCCAAAACAGTTGAGATGAAAGAAAAATTTTCCTTTTTCAGCCCAAATAAACCCATTTTTTAAAGACTTCATTTTGATGTTGGTAGTGCAGCATACAAAGCAAGCTCACAATCAAAGGAAACAGCTTTTCCAGGCAAGCTGAAGAAGCTGAAGCTCTAAAGGGATCCCTACATTATTAACTATCAGAGCACCTAGCTGCCATATTTCTCCTCTTTGACTCCATTCCCCCTTTCTGAATGGTCCAGGATAGGTGGGAGTATATCACAGCAGTAGAAGTGACAGTGCTGAATTTTCCTCTGCACATAATGAAATTTTCCATCTTTAGCAATCTACAATCTGGATTAGACTAGCAGAACAAGCCAGGCATACACTCAGTCTTGCTATACCAGCATATGTTGGAAATGCTGACAGAGACAGGGCAACAATGCCTGTTCAAAAAGTGCCTGTGACCTCTGTGTCTCCCAGCTCCAACAGTATTTGATATCAATGTCTGGTACCCTCTGAATCTAACTTTTAGAACAGAAAAGAGGCCTTTTTCTTCAGATTTCCATTCCTATTTCTCCTGCAATACACCTCATGTTAAGTACAGACTAGTTCAAACCTGTGTAATTGCTTACTCAAACCCAGTGCTTCCATGTGGATCTCTGCCAAAGGTAGATACCAGATTTGGCCGCCGGCACCTATGCTGCAACTCAGACAGGTCTATGCAAGGATCACCTCGTTGGCAAACTGTTATAGACTGCTGCTTGGATCTATTTTCAGATGTCCTCTGCTCCAAATACTCTACTGTAAGTAGTTAAATATTCATATGTCCAAAAAGGTTCTATGACACTTTGAAAAGAAAGTTGGCATAACAGACCAGTAAATGAGTCAAACCAAAACGGGGCACCAATCCTTGCAACAACAGAACCGCCAGAAGGAACGATCCTTCCACTTTCCTCAGAAATTTGACTGTTGATGCATATAGATTTTTCACATATGCAACTGCCAGCTTTTTAATAACTATTATCCCTTTTGAAGAAGGAGAACATTATAAATAAATTTTTTAAAAAGGTCTAGAAACTGATCCTGTAAGAACAGCCTGAGGTAAACATGAGAGAAAATTGTGAAAGTAAATCATCAAGTTCTGCATTTCATATGTTCGACTGCTTTTAGAAACAATCAGCTCATACACAGCTACTGAAAGCAACAGGTTTCACCCAGCAATATGGAATCTCTAGGCACAATGTCTCTTCAATGAGTCTGATCATTCTTTGGTTAAATTTTTCCCCTTGATGTAGAAGTAGACAGGCTCATGAGATAGAAACTGCCACCTGAACGTTGGGTTCACAGTTATGTGCTCTGACCCCTCTTTGCTCAGTCTTATGGAAAACAGCTTGGGTTTTTCACTACACACTAGGAGACTTCTAGAGAAGAAACTTCAAACCTACCAGGTATATGTACACTTAAAAGCCTTAGATGTTAATAACAACTGTTCATCAGTTTTACTGCAGAATTCTTGTAAACAAGGATAACACCCATTCCCAAGAAAAAGCAGGTTCTCACAGAAGAATTTTTAGTTGTAGTCTATCCACTACTCTTGAGGAGGTTTTCCCCACAAGATCAGATCAAGGACCGAAGTCATTGGCAGTCACATTTTAGAGACCAGCCCTAACTGGAGGGCATGATCTATAACTCCTTTCATATCAGTCTATAAATAAGGTTTACAAAATGAAAGATATAAACAAGCTGTTTTCTTCTTTTGTCAACAGCTGTACCTCAAAGCCTCTAAATAACTGTGGAATAATTTGCCATGTTACTAACTCAGGAAGAGAGCAGCAATGTGATGGGTACCAAGACAGCTGTCCAAGGAAGTTCAGGCAGCTTCAGCCCACACAACATCCTGCCGCACTTCCAAAAACTCCAAGAGCAATTTGGTACCTTTATTTCCCAAATTCAGGATAAATGCATCCTATAACATAATTTACTCCTGTGGAATCTAGGCAGTTAAATTCACTAGTCCTTCAGTTAAGAAAATGCTTTATCAACTGTATTTCTCAATGAGAAATAGATTCCATGCTATAAAGGAAAATCTTTTAGGCAATTACTGAAATTTTCCTGAACACTGCTTCAAGGCAAAGGAGAAGCTTTAAATCAAATTTGGCTGGACTAAAAACGTCTCTGATGGAGATTTTATTTTTACATTACGTTGGTGGCTATTCAATACAGCCACATCAGCTGCTCATCGTGGGAGATTTAGAACACTTTGGTAATACACAAATAAATTGTCACCATAATTTAAAGCTCCAAGGTTCCTGGGGAAGCACCTGTTGGGAAGAACGTACCATGTCAAGTTAAATCAGCAGCTACCCAAGATAATCTTGGTCATACACATCTTTAAAATGCAATATTGTTTAATTACTTTGGTAAACAAAGTTAGGTAAGTAAAGCTCAACGCCTGTCCTTTCTTCCTTTGTAACTGTAGTCAAATTTGCAAATCAGGCCTGGACCCTCACCTTCATGCTAACATCTCCACACCTTGTAAGATGTCTGGAGGAATGCAAAGGTGTCTCAAAGTTTGAGGAGGATCCACTTGGTACAGATACTGCTGAAGGCAGCCATAGAGCTGTCTTGCAGTGGTCGAAGGTGTATCAAGCTTCGACAAAAAAAAAGAGCATCAGATACATCCTCAGCAAGCAGCACTGCACATTCTCCAGTCAGTCACAAAGCAGCCTGAAAAAGCTTCCAGGATTAAAAAAGAACATCAAGACTATTGACATTACACTTGGAGTCTTTCCAACCTGCAAGAACTAGGCTGCCTTAGTCAAATTAACAGGGTACAGATCTCCCATGTAACAAAAGATATCACTAATAAACTGTTCAGCTTTCACTGTGTTCATGTTTGGAATTCAAAATAAATCTCGGTATTGAAAAGAAGGAATTCAACACACACCTGATAAGCAAACATTTCTCAAATAATATGCATGCAAATTTAGCATAGATTACAAACCATGCAATAAGTGATTCAGTATTCTGTCAATATCTAGACTTCTGACAATACAAGAAAACAGAATTCTATGGTTTGTTTTCAAAATATCTTCTCAAGGAGGGGAGGGAAAAAAAGACTAAGCGACCACAATTATTTTTCAACTAGAAGCTAGGAAAAATAAGCCACCAAAGGACCTCCTTTCACTCCTTTAGAGTCTTTATTAAAATATAACATTGCCTAAAAACATCTAAAGATATGTGCACTACCTTTGGATTCCCACTTAACATCATGTCTTAAAGTTAAGACCTGATTACACAGCCTTTAACAAACCAACTGTATTTCGGTACAGTTAAGCTAAATTAGCGGGCACCCAAAATAAATGTTCCACTGTGTGGTGGTGGTGCTTAAAACAACTAATGCTCTTTTTCTTTGCCATTTTATTTTCATTTTATTTTGTATGTACCTATAATGGAATTATTTTTATCATGATAATACTCCCTATTATTTGCATACCTGTATATTTGTGTACCATTTAACCATATTGTTAAGTCAGGTGTCTGTACGTACAAAGCCACTGGCTTCATTCATTATCCTGTTGTAAAGATTAACTAAGCAAATGCTGACTGCATAATTATATTTATTCTATGTGCACTGGAGCCCAAGAACACTGACTTTTTTCCACACCACACCAAGTCATTTTCTCCACGTTTTCCTTTCTTGGGACTACTTAGCAGTTATTCAAGTATATTTCTTGCTTAAGTTAGAAAGTTACAGTTAAAAGCAAGAAGTCGAATTCAAAAGGCAGCCTGCTGAGAGAAGGGCTCTCCCTATGAAAGCTTTTAACCAGAATATTGCATATATAAAGCACAATTAAGGCTGTGTAGCACTCCTCACTGCCATAAATAAGATCACTTTCAGATGATATATTTTTGAAGAATCCTCAATCTGGAGATTTACACCTAGCTATCTGGGATGTATAGGTGACTTATTTAGCACATCAATTTCAAAAGATTCTCTGAATTCCAATACTCCTGCCAGATACAGCATGCAGCTGATAGAGACTTGAGCTTCTCAAGCAATATAGCGTGTTCTGTGTAACATTACACTTGATAAGAAAAGTCAGTTTATGAATGAATCACTGGTATTGTATATGTGTATGTGCCTTAGACAGGTCTGCACAAGCTCCTGAATGGGACAATAAATAAAGGAGAACACCAGAGCTGAATAGGTAGCTAAAATGCAAAAGCAAGTTTACATCTATGTGACATGGTCCTAAAAAGCTTTTTAAAAGAATGCATCATCTTACAAAAAAATAAAATAAAATTTCTTAAAAAATTACTTTCCATACATTTTTGCTAAACAGAGATTTGGGAAAAGTTTTAGAAATGCAGAAGAGCACGCATTCACTACCAAAGTTTTAAGTATCAGCAGTGTTGAGGGGGAGGGAAGGTTCATTGTGGGTTTTTTGTTTCTTTCTTTGCTTTTTGAATACTCTTCTTAACTTTATGCAAACACAGCTCGTGGTGTAAGGAGGATGAGGTGTTACTGCCTGCTCTGCTGTTTGGTTGCTTTGTTTACGTTAGTGTTGCAATTTCAGGAAAGAGGAGACAAACTGAGTCTTACGTCTACTGTGTTTACCTTAATAAACTTCTTGCACTTTAAAATGTTTCACATCTAGACCTAATCTCTTCCACCATGTTTCCTTCCCAAATTGATTATCTTCATCTTACAGCAGCGATAAAACTCTGCCATACATCTGTTAACTAACACTTCAGTTCAAAACATTTCGTACCAACCCTTCCTCATCCTTCACAATTCCTGGATTCTATTCCCATTATATCCCATTGCCAATTCCCAGATAACTTTCTGCAGTTTCATTTCCACTCTCTTACCCTGTTTGACAGTCACTCCAACTCAACATTTTATTTTTTTAATCTGCTGAAGTCAAAAGGCAGCAGGGCTCGCTGTGATTCTGATTTCCTTTATTAACATTACAGTACATGCAATACTTACCATGAAACGGGAAAAGGAATTTAACCCTTGCACTCCAAGAAAAAAAAAGTCTAAAGCAAAGCTGAAACTGAGGCCTGACAAAGTATCTTTTGAGGTTAGCAAGGCTTTCCAAATGTTTGGGATGAATTCAAAATACCCAGTTAGTTTTCCCAGTTTCAACTAATTAAAATATCAAAAATATTAATTCAGACATCGATCTAAGTTGAACTGTACAAGTTTAAAATTGCCATATTTTAGTACCATTAAACAAGAGAAGGCCAAAGATAGCAATATCACCAGAATGAGCCAGAGCAGCAGGGTGAAACTGGGTACATTCGGTGGATAAATCTGTACTGATAACATGTCTAGAATGGAAACTGCTTTGCACTTTCTGCACCCTTGGTGTCTGCAAGCTGTTCTTAAAATCAGAGCAATAAGTGCTAGACATGGCAAGTTCCTACTTTGCTCAGTCACTCTGTAGTTCCCATATTAACCTGGTAGCACTGGACGCAAACCAAAAGGGCCTTTCGTCGGGGAGATGCCGCGGACGATACAGTCAAACAGAAAGCTGATCTGCTCTCCTTCAGCACAAGAGAGGAAGAAAACACCAGCCCCTGCAAGAAAGAACATACATGTGCTTTTCACCTGGATACATTAGAAATACATTTAGTTGAAGACATTTGCTATCAAATCAAAATACAGTGCAAGTCGTGAAAAGAAATCGATGAAACATACTCTACAGAGGAGAAAAAAAAAAGAGTTCAGCATATACACTGAGTCAGGAAAATATACAAATTCAATAGATAATTAATAATGTATGCTAATTTTCTGCAACTCAGGCAATTAGAGCAATGACAAAATGCAAGCCACATGCTTAACAGCTGTCTGTCTTTTATTCTCATTTACCCCTAGAATTTTGTAGACTCAATCTTAGCTATGCAAGTATCATGGTTACTGAAAGTGTCTTCATTGAAATGACCCAGGTTAATTCTGCTTTTACCAAACTTTATCAAAGAACAGCCTTTTATATCCCCTATAGAGGTCAGGGTTTGGTTATATTGTTTGATTATAATATAAATTTTCCCACTTACTTAAACAGCCTAGACTAAGCCCTATGTGCCTATTATTAAACAGAATGTAACACGACTCCACAGGCTGTCATCAGATCTTTACCCTTAGCTCTATTCTGATATTTTGCTTTCCATTCATTAAGAATAGCCCCCAGCAAAATTAGAATGAGAATCACTAAATAAACAAACAAGTTCTGAGCCACATGATATACAGCTATGGGGACAACACAAAACTAAAAATGTTCCATGTAACATTTGATTTGAGAATTTTCACCCTAAGTCCTACTCGCAACAGAAAAGCAGCACAGTTGGCCTTTTCAATGAACTGAAGGCATCAGGCAAAGTACCCCCCATCCCAAGTTAACAGTGAGATTACTATATAGAGCTTTTAAGAAATGCTGTCAGTTCACCAGAGCCAAGTACACTACAAAACCAGATCACCACGTCAATAGAGTTTTACATGTATCTTCCCTAAGAGCCCTTAGTCTGGACATAAATTTGACTTCTTCTCATTTCTCTAGCTTATTCTGAGTTGAATGGCTACTTTTGTCCGTTTTAGTTAAAGCAGCAGCACCGATCTTGACCAGAATGCTTACACCCCTATCACATCCCACGCATACACAAGTCTCATCCAACAGGTTTTCTGCATTTCACTCAAGCAATGGATCTGCTTGACAAAGGGCTACTGGATTCAAACAAAGGGAGGATAGGGGGTGGGGTGAGGTAGATCACACATCAAATTATTTTAGAAAATTAGATACAGCTGGCAAGCGGTAAACTGATCACTTCAAGAGAAAGCACATTCTGCTCCATGCTCTTTTGTCACTCTCAGTTTAAGTAAAACTGAAGTCCCTGCCTGCTCTGTGTAAATCTGTTACAGACTACACTGTTTGAACCAACTCCTAATTTGCTTTGTCAAACAATCAATTTTGTTCCTTTTCAGATCTAACTGATCAACAGTATCTCACATTTTCTCACAGCAAATACACATGCAATGGCTTCAGGACCAAAAGCCATCTAGGAGATTACAACAGTAATCACACAGTCTAACAGGTATGAAAGTTTCAGGTACTGACTCATATACAGCCTTGTCACATTTCCCTCTCCAGGAGATGCCAGAGTCAGAGAACTGTATTAAAAGAAGTTGGGTGCAAAATTTGCATTCAGAAGGTATTTGAAATTCAGCTCTCTCTCTTAGTTATTTTCTCCTTCCCCCATTCAGTACAGAATGGTTTCCCTGATGTTTAAAGGCTGTGACTCTTCTCCTGCGAATCGCACTGATGGCAAAGGACATGCCTTTCTTGAGGAAGCAGGGCAGCACAAAGCTCTGCAGGGCTCTGAACATGACCTTCTCATTCCATGAACAATAAGCAATCAAGATACGGAAACAACAGAGAACATTCATATCTCAGGCACAGTGATGGACTACAGCCTGATAATTCAGCAGAAGCCTGTGCATCTGTGTTACCATTCAGGAAAAGATACCTCCAACCTGCCTGTACCTAAAGGTTACATCTGGACCACTTGCTTTGTTACTGTTGCAAAGAAATGGCTTACTTAAATTTCTAAGAGGCTCTGCTAGCCTGTGACTTCAGTGGAAACAAAGAAGTAAACATTTCCTGAAATTTGTTTCCACGCAACTTGGCTAATTAACTCAAAGAATAATTTGCATGAAAAATTATTCCACATTTAGAAGTTAAAAAAAAAAAAATTAAAAAAACCCACAAACATGAAAGCTTTTATATAACTTGTGAAAACAGCTTATGGACGTGTGCCCACGAGTACAAACCCAACATACATGTGTTCCCATCGAATATTTCTTTGTAGATTCTGTTATTCACACAATCACCACAAACACTGGTCAGCTTTATGGGAAATGTTTTCTTTCTTGTTTTGTTAGACAGAACTAGAATGCAAAGGATGAAGGAAGTTTAGGAGTCCTTAAAAATACAGCAGAAGAGATGAATAAGGTTCAACTGAGTTATGTTTTAAAAACATACATAAAAGCCAGCAATTGCATTTCTTTTCTGCTTTCTTGAGAAAGATGATGAATTCACAACTGGAAATTGCACATCTGAGTGCTGGAATAGATTTGGTGCACAGGCATTTGGTAGCCCAGGAGTATGTGGTATACATCACTGTAATACCATGCAGCTGTTTACTACGACTGAAAAGCGCTCTCTCTCTTCATGGGGTAAGAGACTTGGTGAGAGATATTGCTTGAACTCAGTATGAAAAGTTTCCAACAATGGCAGACCAGAAGGAATATATACTGTTTGTCCTTTTGAATGTACACATGCAGGTGATAGGAAGCAAAAAAACCAGGAGTCTATGGCAACTGAAGTTTCTCAGCTGTCCCATGTATCGAGAAACACACCCCTTAAGAAAAAAAGAAAGAGTAATATAATGCAGAAAAATATAGAGGGATTCATTCCAAAATGCTTTCTAATTCTGGTCACCTGCAGCCAAAGAGAAGATTAATGCATACTGAAAACCAGGTACACAAATGAGCAACTGCTGAGTTCTTACAGGGAAGACAAGACAGATGGGCTTGTTTAGCCTAGCAAAAGAAACCGAGTGCATAAATAAAGGTTCTGTAGGTAATTGAGGAGGTAAGCATCAGGGAGAGAGAGAGAGAAAGCATTATGCTAAAGAACAATGCCAGAATAACAACCTTGGATATAAGAGCAAAAAGTTAGTTTGGAAACCTCATAAAAGGATTTTAAAGGATCATACATGAAAGGATCTACAGGACTCAAGACCCTATGCTAGCCTAATACACGTTTGGGTCCTTTTTAAAGGACTAGAGTCACAACAACATCAGCATTCAAACAGTGTTGAACTTTCAGAAATAGTTGACTGACACTCAGAAATCAGATTGTTTATTTCTGTATGCCTCACCAAAACTTCAAACACCACTTCAGTCGGTGGTATACCAAGAAAGGCAGAATATCTTCCTGAAAACTGAAGCGTTTCCCTTGAAAGAAAACGCATCTCATTTTTTCATCTTTATCACTTTGACATGTATTGCTGGGGAATACTCTTGATTACTGTAGTGTGGAAAACTACAGAATACACCACCAGTTAAAAGCAGCACCCAGAAATTAGGATAAGCTCAAAGGTAAGAGGGGATCCGAGGGAAGAACTTCAGCGTAACAAGTAATTCAAGTACTTCAAAGTCCCACAGCAAATCCATCAACTACAGCTTCCCATTTGTATCATTCATTTACATTTCATATTACATATTCTTTACACAACTGGCATCCTGGCCTATGAAGTAGACCATTTAGGTTTCATGCATTGAAGAAATAAGACACAAGCAACAATTGATTGAAATTCTCAAAATATAGAAATTGCATCAAATCTAGAACAAGTCACACAGGATCTGCAACAACTTAACTAAGGAATCTAAATGGAAGGCTATTTATATAGCCCATTACTTTCTTTCTGCTGTCAACAAGCACTTCTCAGTAGGAAGCAAAGAAAGATTTGAAGTCCTGAAGGGTGAAGGAGTCTAGGAAAAGGTTTCCCACTCTCATAACAGCATAATGACCAGAAGAAACACACAGAGCAACATAGCTACCATGTCATCTTTTCTAGCGACGTTTCAGAGTGTCTTCTACAGCTAGGCAACTCAGAAAAAAAGATTCCAGTTTCGGCTTTGTTTTTTGAATGCTTACCTAGGGACCCAGAACATCTGCACTCCCACTTCCCAGAACCAGTCAGCAGGAGCATACTTTGGCCTGTTCAGGAAACTACTTGGAAGCATCCCAAGGTATCTGGTCCTGGAGAGAAGACGGATCCAGGAGAACTGGCTCATTTTCAAGGATCACCTCCTGCTATTTCAAGCCAAGCAGAGGTAGCAGGAAAGCCTACACAGAACTCCATGGTCAAACATAAAGAGAGAGCACACAGGTAATAGAACTAGGGTGACCAAGATGATGCAGGAGAAATACAGACACACTGTCCAAGCACACAGGAATGGGTTTAGGAAAGCCAGTCTCTAGCAGGAGTTGAATCTGGACTGAAGAGCAACAAGAAGGGCTTCTGCAAGCATATCAGCAAAACAAGGAAAACTTCAGCCTGCTGCTGAACTGGGTGGTGGACCTGGTGTCAGAGGACATGCAGAAGGCTTATATACTCTAAGTCTTCTCCATTTTGGTCTTTACTGATAAGATCCAACTCATCTGTCAGTAATTGCAGACCCTTCAAACTAGTGGGGAATGAGGAAGACTTTCCCTGGGTGGATAGGAGTGGGTTGAGGTATATTTAGACAGGTGGTGAGGGAGTTGGTCAATGTCATTGCAAGGCCACTCTTGATGGGCCTTATTTTCCAGAAAAGGACTGAGAAAATTAAAAAAAATAAAATAAAAATAAAAGTAACAAAAGCAAATAGATGCTCAAGAGGGACAAGGAAACAAAAGGCCAGGGGAGGTGATAGCACAAATAATCCTAGAAAGCATTTCCAAACACACTAAGGACAAGATGATTACTGGGAATAATCAGCATGGAATTTACAAAAAGGAAACAATACCTAAACAAACTGATATTCTTCTCTAATAAAATGATTAGCTTGGTGGATGAAGCAATAGATGTCTTTTGTTTTAACTCCAGGAAGGCTTTCAACACCATCTCCTATAAAATATCTACTGACAAAGTGATCAAGTGCAGACTAAACAAGTGGACAATAAAGTGGACTGAAAACAGGCTAAACTGCCAGGCCGAAAAGATTATTATCAGCAGCACAAAGTCCAGCCAACTACTACTGGTGTATGGTGGAGCAAAATTTTGGGCCAATGATGTTTAACGTCCTCATTCATGTGGATTGTGACACTGAGTACACCTTCAGCAAGTTTGCAGAAAGTAGAAAACTGGGAGTAGCAGCTGATGCACCAAACTGCAGGAAGAAGTTGCTCACAGAAGTTATGGAGTACTCATCCATAGAGATGTTCAAAACCTGAATGTGATCCTGGACAAACTGCAGCAGCAAGCCTTGCTCTGAACAGGGGGCTTGAAGTAACTTCCAGAAGTTGTTTCCCAACTCAAACATTTTGTGATACTTAGGCACTGTTAGATCTAAACTTAGTTTCTTTGCAAACTCATTCATTACTTTCATACTGCAGCGTAGAAGCTTTATAATCAGCGTTATAATGCTGCAGAGCAGACTGGCAGTGTATCATCAACACTTTAATAACAAAGAACCACTACAGCAATTTCTCTGTACTAAAACATCTATTTTTCCACAATAAATCACAATGTTTTTATCTGTGTTATCAAACAGCTAAGGGAAAACTAACACAGTTAAAGAACCACAAATATTAATCTAAATAACTAGACTCAAAACTTAAGGATTTCTGTGAACCGATGGTGCTTTACACGTTTGAAGCACAGAATATTCTTTCAGATCAGTTAAAAGTGAACATAAGTTTCTACTATATTAGCAATGCTTTAATATGTGTAATATATGTATTTTTTACAAATTCCAGTGAGAATAATAAGACATTCCCTAGATACTGTAATGAAAATGAAATGTACAAACAGAAGGTGATCAACATTCACATACAAGACACTGTACATATTGAATACTACATAAAACTAGCTTGTATTATTCACTGCTCTGCTTCTAGTTAAGAAAACATACATCTTTAACAACATAAAATAAGCAGTGCTTGGAACTGTAGGGTGATACAGTAGTAATTGAATACATTCAGTTCCAGTTATATGTACAGATCACAACAAATACTACATAGTCGATAACAGAGATCTACCCTATTTCGTAATAAAACCAAGGAAGAGAAAAGATACTCACTAATTTAGGGCTGATCTAGATCCTATTAAAATGTACCTTCAATCTTTATGCCAGTATCTTAAAGTGCCTTATTGCTGAATTCTCAGAATTTAGGCAGCCTCAAAACACTACGTAGAAGTGCTTGACTTGCATTTCTGGATGCATGCAACTATCTGATAGCAAATGTAAGATGGACAAACACAAGACCTGGGTAAGCTGAACAAAGGAGGAGCATGTACTGCGCACCTCAAAGCAAGGTCTACAAGACTTCATAGAAAGGTGTGGTAAAGACACGCCCAACCAGACAAGACCCAGCCTTCAAATCTCTTGTTTTGATGGCTCAGCCACCAAATTTCTTGTTACTCTACTCTCCTCCTGCAATCCTCATGCAGGTTGCAAAAGGAGTATCAGTGATACTGACACCCTCAAGGAATCTTTCCAGGGAATAAAGTACTGAATACTAGAGACATCTCCTTACTTATCCCTCATCGCTGGTGTGTTCAGAAATCCAGCCTTACCCTGTGCACACTCTGTGGCAATATGTGCTAAAAAAACTCTGTCACTCAGTGCTGAACAGTCACTGAAAACAAGCATGAAAAAGAAAAGATCAACTGAAAAGATCAACTGTTGTGGGGTTTTTGTTTAGTTGTGTTTGCTTTTTTTTTTTTAAATGAGACCATACAACCTACCATCCATCCATCACTATTATCTGCTACTCATTTCTGCTTGTGAATAGTCATTTCCTTCCATACACTAATGTATGTCAGCATAAAATACATACTTGAAATCTACAGATATTCCATTTGCAATCAACTATGTATTTCAAAAATCAAGCTATTAATTGAAGGCCTTATTAGTAAAAAATATTACTAATCTTCTTTCTTGAGGCACCCGCTTATAAATATAAATAGATTTCATATAAATGATATCTATTACTCGAGTTATCAACCTGTTGCTAATATTAAAGATTAGCATTTCTATTTCAGCTGTCTATACTTCTTAAATACAAGTTTTCCACAATTAAATGATTTCAGATTTCATTAGTTCAAGAACTGGTAGTTCTACACAAGCTTCCCAGAAAGCACAGCTGTTCTGAAAGCACAAAGAACACCACACTTACAGGTTAGTTCTACACAAGCTTCCCAGAAAGCACAGCTGTTCTGAAAGCACAAAGAACACCACACTTACAGGTTAGGAATGTTTCTCTCTGAAAGCATTCTGAAAGCATAGCCTAAGATTTCTATGTTCGGTTAAGAATCCAAAGAGTGGATCCAAATTATGTCTGCACGGAAATGCATGCATTTAAATACAGAAATACAATATTTTATAACAAGTTATCTAGCTGACATTCTGAACTATGGTACTAAGAAACAAGACTCTCCTGTTCTAGGCCTCACACAACTTCTTAACCAAAACACAATAATCTTAACTAGAGGCATTTGTTTTCTTACAGACTATACCTATAACACACTCCTTCAGACAATGAAAACACCTCTCTGACCCCAACATCTAAATTAAGAAGTGAAGGACTTGAACTAGAATGTTCTGCACTGCAATCCAGTGCCCTAGTTCAGAATTGAGGGTATGAATGTCAAGTTCATACTTACCACCACTTATAACTCAGCTGTGCTTTTCAACAGACAAACCAATAAACTGTCATTATAAAACAGTCAAAACAATTGATTTTCTCTTCCTCTCAAAATTTCATTAGAATTCCAAAGGAATATTTTTTGGATTTCTGCCAACTTGGAAACCTTTTAGCTCAGGTAATTGAAGAAAACAATTATTTTCACATTTCAGCATGCAAATGTCACACAACTTGCTATCCAATTTGGCAGTAAACACATCCATTTCCACTCACAGACTGTCAATACAGCAAATTCTGCTACTGAAGTTAAAATTCAGTGCATTCAATTGATGTATATGATTGCATTAACCATCTTTCCAGCTCTCACGTAGTTTTGAACTGAAAACATGACAAGCCATAAGCATAACATCAATGCAAGAGATTCTGCCTTAGTAGCTAAAGAGTACCTTAGCTTCTAGGCTACAAAAACCAGCTTGAGCTTGCTTTCTTTCATTTTGACCTCATAAAACCTGTGGTCCTACAGCATGACAAATCTAAAAGTTCCTAAAAGTAGGAAGTCCTCTCTATTGGATTTAGCAGCATTTACACAGTGAGAGCCTTGGTTCTACTTCAGTATCAACTTCCTTCTGCAGACAACAGAAATAATCATAATTTAATAATCTGAACATTAAACCATTTTCTTCATCTCTCACATGACAGGCCTTAACCTTCATTACTTTATTCTTGTTCTGAGTCCACAAGCAACCGAGCGAGCATCTTCTGGAGAGCCACATGGCAATGTTCAGACATAGCTCCACATTTTTACTGATTGTGAGGGTTGAAGCAAGCAGAAACTTACTCGGCACAATAGAACAACTGATATGAAGCTGATTGAATGACAAAGCTGCATAGCTGTTTCCAGAACTTCCACATTGATTAAAAAAAAAATTTACATTCCCACAAACAGTTTCAAACAACTTTTAGAAGATAGGTTCTATTAGTACTTACAGAAGCCACACCTTGTACCCCCTTCAAAGATGAATCCATTTGGGACAGCTCCATATCGACGCAGATCTGAGAGTTTCCATTGCCCCATAACACTAGGAGGAAGGTCTTTTGCAAGGACGAGAATGTCATTGCAGAAATGCAGCATAGCAGGCCCGCTCTCTAGTTTAGTGCCAGGTGCTACAAAAACTTGAAATCTATGAACTATCAAATAGGGAAGAAAAAAAGCATTACTGTAGAAAGCACGAGTAATGTACCGTAACTTACGTAAGTCATTCTGCACAGCTGTGGTGTGTGGACTGACCCTACCCACATCACAAGGATAGGATAGGGATTCTAGGTAGGGCCCAGATAGCCCCATGTGAGTAGCTAATGTTTCAAGTTATTAGGTTGTAATGCTACAACTTAATGCTACATTAATCCATCCGAACTCTTACAGAACAAACCCCGTATCAAATTAGTCAGTTATCCAGCCTCCTTCCATATTTGCATAAACACAGGGAGTTCTTTCTGTGTCCTCCTCCAAATAGCCTTTGCCCAGCCTTTCTGAATTGCATGCACACAGACACACAACACAGCCCAACAAGGCCAGAAGTCAAGGCTCAAAGAAACAGACAAGTTCTAACAAGAGGTCTGTCACTGACTGTTACAGCCTTTAATAATCTGCTTCACTCCCTTCCACACATTGCCTTCCCTAACAGTAAAATGAGGAAGATTACAATTTCCCACCTTTGTGACTCTTTCGTGAGCTGATGAGGCTAGATGCCCTGATATATAAATTGAATTGGAAATTAGTGATTCATTGGTAATGTACATTCTTTAGATGTCAGTTAAGTCTTTATATTTCTCAGCCTAAACTCCAGAAGAGCTTGGGAAAAGGGAAGACACCTCTCTCATTAAAGTTTATGAAGTTCTTGCAACCAGATACACACACACAAATCTGTCCTGGCACAGAGAAGCATAAGGACTATCACATTTTCAGAGGGATTGGTCTTCAAGGAAACATTTATCAGGAAACATGCAAATTTACATTTCTTGTTATCCATTTAATATCATTTAAACAGCTTCCTGCCTATGATATCTACACAGTAACTTCCAGGTACACTCATTTCTTATAATTATTCTTCCCTACCTCTTGCCTTTGCTCCTTCAAGCATCATTAATTTCAACCAAGTCTGAGCCTTGTTTCTTGTTTAAACAGTTGCTATATTAGTTACCATGTTAGCTGTAAGTCAGCTCCTGTGACGTACATTTGCAAAGTTTCCTACGGCTTCAGCAGAATTAGCCACAAAGTCATTTGAGGGAGATGTGTAAGGAGCCAGAGATAGATCTTTAAGCAATCACAGCTCTACTTACAGTAGTACTGCTAGGGTGCAAGTCAATAGACACAATGTTCCCTTCAATTCAATTACTTTACACAACCGAACAATAATGTAAAATATGAAGGAGATGACAAAACCACCCTGACGAATAACATTCAGTAAAAAATATTTCATATCATTTGGACAATTCTGCACAGTTAACTTCAGAGGTACTTTGACATCAATTAAACTATAAGAAGCAGAAATATCAGCATCCTTCCTGTCTCATAAATGGAAAAAAAAAAAAAAAAAAAAAAAGAACACTTTAACACAAGAGGTTACAAGTTACCATAGCTGCCAAAACCTAAGAGTTGCAACTCAGATTCCAAAACGTTGTTAGGAAACACCACACAAAACCAAAACAGAGGCAAATTCAGGTCTGGACATGAAGGTTTTGCCATATTTTCCTTTCCTGGTAATGTGTGTGTGTGACTTCTCCTAAAATTCTCCCCATGCATCTACTGTTCTGGCTGGGAGGGGGGAGGAATAAATAAAAGGCAAAAATGGAAACAAAATCTTCAACAAAAAGATACTTAACTGAATACAACCATGAGCAAGAAATATTGCTAAGGTTTTTAATTTCCTTTAGGTAATCTTTTTCTCTTCACAGCTACTCACTGACCTGCACTATGCTAACTTCCTCAGAATAAGCTGTGGACTTGAGCACACTGTTCTCACAAATGGCCTACACCTCATTCACTTAATTCCACTGCTTTCTCTAATTCTCTAATCATGAATTGTTTATTCCCTTGAGCTGCCCTGGGAATTACACTCACCTGACCTCCAAACCAGAAAGAAAACACCGGGAACCTCAGTGAACTCCTTCCACTCTATGGTCCTCACTTAACAGCATCAACTTGTTTCACTCTTTTTTTTTTTTCCTTTCTGCTTCCCAGACTCTGAGGTCATTTGCCCACGGCCAATTTTCAGCACCCAGCCATGTTACTTCCGAGGCACACAAAGGCATCCTTACTAGTCTTTAAGAAAGAAACACCAAACAGTCACCAATTCCTGTTTATATAGTAGCCTCCTCTTTATTCTTTCTATCTACTCAGGCTAGATTCTATTGTTCCTTTACACTTCATTTCTTCACCTGCACACTACCCTCATTTGTCTCTGCTCCAGAGCTACCTTCATCTCATAGACTCTATCCCTACCTTATTCATAACTTTAATAAATTGCTCACTTCCTTTGAATTTCCTCCTACCACAATCATAACTCTCACATTCAGATGAAGACCAAACATTCTCTTTATCCCAGCACTGAATCAATGCAAGATCGTGAAAATCAGACCAACTCTGTCAAATTCAAATTCTCTTCCAGCTGTCATACATTTGTCCTAATTTGTCCTAAAGGACAAATCTGTGCTGTAGAGAGATCCCAATGCTAGTAAAGAAACAGAAGTGGAACACAAAACAGCCACACTGTCAGAGCGTACTCACTACTCCCTCTGTATCTGCCGATGTTGTTCAGGGATCCCCTCTAACCTTTGCCCTTGTGCAAGGCTGATAGCTCCAAGCAATAAATCTGTGTCTCCATTCCTATACTGCTACATTTTATAGCGTAAAATTCTCAGACCATCTTTGCACGTATATACTGAAAAGTAATGAGCCCATAGCTACAACAGATGGCAAAGCATATGTAACAAATGATTATGATAGCTAATGTGTCTTCCACACACCTACCCTCCTTCCCTAGTTATAACTAAACAGACATAAAAGCTACGATGGATTTTCAACATTATCACTCCTTCTTCATTGCTACATACTTTGCTAAACAAGAAAAAAAAAAAAAAAAGAGAAAGATGTATGAGTAGATAGCTGGAAAGACTTTATCTACTGCTATTGAGAGATGTCTCGTCTTGAAAGGGGACACCAGCAACAATGTGAATTATCAAGGGCAACACTTGGTATGCTTATACATAGCTCATACAATTGGGATCGAACAAGTCAACTTCTAACCTGGGAACTACTTCTCTTAATTCAGACTCTCTCTGAATTCTGTCATCCAAATCCCCAAGTAAATTGCATTACCAGAGGAGCTAAGATCACTTCGCTTCATAGCTACACACTTTCAGTGGTTAAGTCAAAAACAAAGTAGAGAACTTTCCTTGTTAGTGACCAATATCCAGGCAACACTGTAATCACAGCCTACCAGAAGGGCCAGCTGCTTTAAGACATAGGGGAAGAGTAGTCTTTTCACTCATATGAGTGAGCCTCTTCCCTAACTTACTTTTTAATTTGCATTTTAGTTATGGCTTTCTTTAATTTTTTTCCTGTCGAGGAAAAAAAAAATAGGAAAAAAAGGGAGTATGAGAAGACAAAGGTTACCTTCCCCCAAACTGTAGCGGATTCGTATATCCCACGCATACATTGTTTCCTTGTTCTCAAATCCTAGCATCACGACTTGAGAAAGACAGATGATTGCAAGGGTGTGATTCAAGCCCTCATAGGAGAGCCCAGGATCCAAGCCACAGATGTCTTCTAAGGTCACGCTGCTTCTCTCCTTGTGCCCTTTCGCTCGTTCAGATTTATCCTTGTACACCAGCATGAGCAAACAGTCTAAAAGAAGCAAAACTGTCAGAGATGATGAGGCAGAACAGAACACAACACGTTTATACCAAAGCAAAGAATTAAGAAAAGTGCTTCAGACAACTGCAGGGTCACTCTGATCAAGCCAATACTAGAACGCAGCGTCCTTCCCCCACTCAAGTAGGGGGAAGGAGGTAGGCTGCAGTCCATGTTCAGAAAGCAGACATGTTTCAACAGTCATCTGTGGGATCAGAAATATGAAGGCAAGAAAAAAGTCTTCCCAATTACTTTGCAAAAACACAGTGATTTTTGGTATTGTCTCCCTAGTTTAGAAGGAACTGACTCATTAATTTTGAGCATTAGAAGCTGGAGTACGATAACTACCCACATTACAAGTCTAAGGACCGAGAGGCTATTGTCATCTTTATTTCCATGAGAACATGCTGAACCACAAACGAAATTCTTACAGTAGTTCACAGATTACTCAACTACTAAATGATGAGCAGACTGCCTGCACTGCCAGACATTGTGTCAGCTCAGGTTTCCCAGTGAAATGTTACACAGTAGCCATGCTCAATAATCATTATGTGCCACACCTCTATTTATTATTATTATTTTTAAACATGTCACCTTTTGTTTTTAGCCCCTTCCTGGGCATGTTTACTATAAAGTAAATAAGCAATGAAAGAATGTAACTCAAGCATCACAGTGCTCTAGGAAAAGCACATTTCAAACAAAAACAAAGGGAGCATCCCTTTTCCATCTTTTGCATGTAATAACAAGAGCATTCATTTTCACCCAGATTCCCTTCCTATTGCACAGCACTGGGTTATAACCTGAATTAATGGTGCATAGCAAAGCTGCAACATCCGCAGCTGCAGCTGACCTGCGTGCCACCAGGAGGAAGCCCCTGTGCACTATGTCATGAATGTTGGGGTGTGGTGCTTCAGCCCTGGCAAGGTGCCCTGCAGCACTCAGCTGGGCAACAGCCTGGCAAAGCTCCAAAAAGGTGAAAAATGACTGAAAGACTCAACGCCTGCTAGCCAGTGCTCTACATGCCCTCCCAATTGTTTTCTTGCACCTGTTAGCAAAAACAGCTGCCACTATGACACTTTCTGCATTCTGCTGTGCAGTTGTGTATCTGAAGAAAGAACTGCTATGGCATACAGACCAAGTGAAGCAAATCTTGGGGGAGGGGAGTTTCTGGTAGATCTGACTAATTTTGATAGAATGAAAACAGCATTTTTGAGGAATAACATCATCAGTAGGTTTTCTTTTAGAACTTCCCTATCTTTCCCCTTTAATTTGGTTACAAATCCAGGCCAGTATTGGCATGTCTAGATGTCAACTTTTACAATCTGGAGTTGCCCATTCGTGGAGAAAAGTTTAACAAATGCAGTAATTAAAATACCAACATTTTACTGTAACAACTGAGTACCAAAGAATCGGTCTAAAGAACAAGAAACATTCGCTCTCTCATCTAGAAAGGGCTCTGTAATAAGTTCAGAAGCACTGCAGATCCATGTTTGGACAATAAGCAACAATTTGCCCTGGAAATAAATACTTCTGGGGCCAAATGGTTTTCCCATCCAAAAAAAAAGAAGAAAAAAAAAAAATTGGGAAACATGAAGCCTACTTTTCCCTCTCCAACATTAAAACATCAACTCTTCATAACATTTTCAGTTCTCCCTTGCAAACCGTGGAACTGAAGTTTTTAATTCAAGATGACATCTTATTTTTAAATTGAAATGCTTTATGTCAAAACACAGAACAAAAATAACTACAGAGCTCACAATGGCAGCCTTTCACAGCCACCAATCACCCTGAAGAAGTAATTTTTAAAGCAAGCCTTTTAAACGGGAACTAAACTCTCGTGTTCGTTATGGGTCTCCTTTGATATCCTCTTTCTATTTCTGGCCGCCTGGCTCTCCGCCAGCTGAGCTCAGAAAGAAAATAAATATATATGCGTATATATATATATTATTATTTATTTTAAAGAAGGAAAGAGCAACGACGGCTCGTGGAAACCTCCAGCCGAAGGGTCTTCCCCTGCAGCTGCGCACCCGACGGGGCGCCCCGTAAAGAGCTTTTCTCCCTTTCCCCGTGCCCCGCACCCTCCGGCGGGCGGAGGAGAGGCCCCGCGGCCGCCGGTCTTCCTCCCTTCCCCCGCTCCCCTCGCTCCCAGGCACGGGGTCCCCTCCGCCCCGCTCCGTTCTTACCTGCCACCGGGGAGGGCTTGCGCAGCACCAGCCACCTACTCTTCCACTGCAACGAGAGGCAAAAGGACAGGGTTAGCCAGGGCCGGACAGACAGGGCTCTATTCCCCTCGCGAGGAGGGGGCGTCGGTCGGAGACCCCCGGCCCGTGCCTGCCGCGTGGCCGAACCGAAAGGGCACAGGCTAGCTCGGACCTTTTTTCCATCTCTCAACTTGACGTGACCCTCCACCACCACGGAATCCGTCATCTTCAGTCATGATTCCGGACAGCTGCGCCCGGCTCGCTGCTCCCTCCCCGCGCTCTGGCCGAGGGGTCACTTTCAAAATAGCTTTAGTAGGTCCCCGCTGAGGCACAGCGAGCGCGGCGGGCGAGCGGCCAGCGCTGCCCGGCCCTCCCCGGCGCCCCCCGCCCCGCCGTGCAGGGGCCGGGCCGGCTCTGGCTGAGGGGTTCTTAGAAAGCCCCCCGCTGTTTCTGCATTAGTGTATTTTATTGCTATGTAGAGTTTGTGCTTGCTTTTATTTTATCGCTTCTTCGGGGTTTAAGTACAGGCAGGTGCGAAGCGGAGCACCCACAGCCCGACGAGGGCCGCCTCCGCCGATCTGCTCCGGCCGCGACCCCGGGAGGCGCCGAGATTTGCGGGCAGCCCGGCTCCTCCAGCGCCCGGGGCCGGAGCGAAAGCCCGGAGCGGATCGCCGCTGCCCGGCGGCCAGAATTCATGGAGCCACGCAATGGTCTGACCTGGAAGCGTCTTAAAGCCCATCCGCCCCCATCCCCTGCCGTGGGCTGGGTGCCCCCCACCAGCTCAGGATGCCGAGAGTCCACCCAACCCGACCTTGAGCACCTCCAGAAATGGGCTGCCCACAGCTCTCTGGGCAGCCTGAACCGTGCCCCGCTGCCCTCTGAGTGAAGAATTTCTTCCTAAATTTCCCATCTTTTAGTTTAAAGTCACCCTCCCTTGTCCTGTCGCTGTCAGATCATGTAAAAACTCCGTTTCCCTCCTGTTTATGAACTCCCTTCAAGTACTGGAAGACCACAGCAAGGTCTCCCTGGATCCTTGCCTTTTCCACTCCTCTTTCAAAGTGTGATTACCCCTTCCCTTGGCTCTCAGTCATACCCCACCTCTAAGAAAACACTTATTTTTTTTCTTTTGCAATGCAACTGCCATGAGATAACAGCCCACTTACCCCTAACCGAAGCTGCTACAATTAATAGAATAAGATGTGTTAATTATGTCTTTAAATTCATTTCAATGAGAAATGGACTAATTAGAGTCCATTATTCTAAAAATACTCCTATTGCATCTTATTTGATGCTAATTAGTCCTTCAGCTTTTTTTTTTTCTTTTTTTTTTCCCAACAGCAGCACAGCACATTTTTCTTTCAATAGCACAATAGAAGGGTTTTTTTAGATGTTTGCTTTTATTTCTTCTCTTTGAATCGGTCAGTTTGCATGGAATAACCTGTAATTTAATAAAACCATCCTTAAGTGTGTGTCGTAATGAATCGGGGACGTCATTGTTCAACTGGTTTTGCATTCTAATTCTATTTCAAGTTAAATGCTAGGGAAAAACATCAAGGAAACTTTCCTGGTAAATTTTAACTCTATTTCATTTTAACACAGGCATTTAACAGACATAGCATTTAAATAGAGCCGGGCAGAATAGGGGAAACATTTCCACGGGAAATGCTCGAGAGAAAGATAGGAGGTGCTGGAGTGGCCATATGGATGTGACCAGCCTTCTCAGAGGTGTGAGAGTGAAGGCATAAATCTTTTACTAACCCTGGGTGTTTGCTTGCCATCCCAGTCTAGGACTGTGGATTTAATGTAGTGCTATTCAACACAGCAGAGCACCAGATCACGACATCGCCATCAAATCAGTGCAATGCCAAAAAAAAAAAGAATGAAAGGAAGGAAGAAAGAAACAAGCCACTCTGAAAGCCACAGATTCAGTGTAGTGAATTCACGTATGACAATTCAATGAAGATTTATCATTTCAGCTAGTAAGTGCAGGAAATAGAAGTTTTGCAAGTGAAACAGTCTCTGTGCTTTTAAGAATTATAAGTTAGTGATTATACTAGCTTTGCTACATCTAGAAGCAGCATGCATTTTGAAAACAAGAGAGTTAAAAATCTCTGCACAAATTGTTTGAAACACCATTCTATCACCTTTCTTACTGAGCAGCCACCATCTTTATAGCAAGAGAAGATAGAGAGTACATACAACACAAAACTACCATATTAAAAGCTTGAGTAGTGTGGATGGATATCAATTTAGAAGTGAAAACAAAAAGTCACAGAAGAGGCATAGATGTTCAAAACAGCATAAGCTTTGTGTTGGAATCTGTTCCAAATGAATCACTTCCAAAGAAAAGTAAATAGTTCCTTCAAGCTGATTTAGTACTTGTCCTTCATCAGTAGGTACAGTTAGTCTTGTTAAACAGTCACATTCATTTCACAATGTTACGCAAGCCAGACTCGTACTGCAAATGGCCAGAAAGGCAAACTCAGACAATAATAGTCTTCAGACAGTTTTGGAATCAGGAACTTGGGACTTTCTTCTTAGTGTTCACAGTATTTACAACTGAAAATCTTATCCAAACTTTGTGACTCATTTTTTTTCTCCACTCATACACATGTCTATGGGAAATTTTGCATGACACTTGTATGAAACTGGGAGGACCACCAGGTTTAAGTGTTCTTCTGCAGGGCATTTGAGGTACTTCTTGGCACAGAGAAGCATTGTTTCTTTTTCTACCAGCTCTCAACTTATAAAAAACCTGTACAAGCATTCAAAGGTATAGTTGTAACTATATTCACAACACAGTAAGAGACAGAGGGTAAATGTTTTTATTTACTATAGAATCACAGAATTGCAGTTTATATCATTTTTCTAGATGAGCTCTCCAGCCCTCTGATCATCTCAGTGCCCTCCTCTGGACCTTCTGCAAGAGCTCCACGTTCTTCCCGTACTGGGGGCCCCAGGCCAGGATGCAGTACTCCAGATGGGGCCTCACAAGAGCTGAGTAGACAGGGACAATCACCTCCCTCTCCCTGCTGGCCACCCCTTTTTTAATGCAGCCCAGAACACAGTTGGCCTTCCAGGCTGGAAGCGCACACTGCTGGCTCACGTCCAGCTTCTCATCCACCAGGACCCCAAGTCCTTCTCTGCAGGGCTGCTCTCAAGGAGATCTTCCCCCAGTCTGTATAAACACCTGGGATTGCTCTGACCCAAGTCAGCACCCTGCACTTGGCCTTACTGAACCTCATTATTTTCACGTGGGCCCACTTCTCCAGCCTGTCCAGGTCCCTCTGGATGGCTTTCCTTCCCTCCAATGTATCAACTGCATCGCTCAGCTTGGTATCATCCACAAACTTGCTGAGGGTGCACTTGATGCCATGGTCTGTATCGTTGATGAAGATGTTGAAGAGCACCAGTCCCAAGACCGACCCCTGAAGGACACCGCTTGTGAGCAGCCTCCACCCTGACACAGAACCATTGATCACAACCCTTTGGCTGCGTGCAGCCAGCCAATTCTTAATCCACCAAACAGTCCATCCTTCAAATCCACACCCATTCAATTTAGAGAGAAGGATGTGGTGAAGGACCATGTCATTCACCAGGACTAAGAAATCCATGAGGACACTAGCAGCATTATAAAACAAAACCCTCCTTTTTCTATATTATCTGGACAGTTAAATAACTTGTTATTACAAAATCTAAGACATCTTCAAAACACTGCCAAATTTAAGAAAGGCTTGGACATTTTCTATCCAAGGTAAAACATTTGCATTGCTATCCTGTGAGAAGAAGCAGAGGGTCTGCAACAAGCCCCACTGTGTTGAACAATATTATCTACCAACTTAAACCTTTTCTCAGCAATAAGCTTTGTGCTTTCAGGAGGTGTTGCGTTAACTTTGCAGGAAAATTGCACACCAAATTCAGCAGAGCTCTGAAGCACATTTCTATTTTTATTGCAACATAAAAATATGCTTACATGTTTTGAATCAAACCCTAAATCCTCTGTTTTCTTCCCAGAAGTAGTTTACTGCAGTTAGCTGGGGAGCCTATCTGCTGACGTCTTTCAGCTGAACTTTAACGAAATTACTTCTGAAGGAAAGATCATTCTATTTTTGGCGTTCATCCTTTTTATTTTGTTAACATCTGAAAAAATACAAGGCCAACATTGTTACAGGTTGTTTTAGGGGATGACAACTCCACCAGAAACTTTTAAATACTTATTTTCACATAATCCACCAAAAGATAAACAGTTTTAGATGTCAGTACACTTAGTTTTGACATGTTAGCTTTATTAAGACAAATAAAGACAGTCTCACATGTTGAGCTATTCACAGCCCTAAAACTGCAGCTCAGAGTTACTGATATCAGAGGGATGAGGACTATTTTTAGTGGTCTGGTTTGGAATTTCTAAGAATTACCACAATAATTTTCATACTAGCTTATAATAAAATATTTATGCCACTTTAATGAAACCAAAAGGCTCCTGGACCCTATTTGAAATGATATCATAGTTAAATGTTCAACTAGCTTTTCGAGGGGCTATCCTCTCATTAATCCAATTTACATAGTTTGTTACTCTTGTATATACTCCAGGCTTGTTGATTCTGGCACAGCCATCTCCCCAGCTGATGACTCCATAAAGGTAAGAGATTTCGTTATTCTCACATGCCAGAGGTCCACCAGAATCTCCCTGTGTTAAAAGTGAGGAAAGATTATTTAACTTGATAGAAAATCATTGGAAAAACAGTTTAAATGTAAGTAGAAAGAAGTTTTTTCCTGTTTTAAAGAGAAAATTATTTTCAGAGTAAAGTTGGAAGGAATTTTTTACCATTTTTTTCCACAATTACGTGGAACTGTGTTGCCTTTATAAGATCTCAGTGATAAACGAAGTCCTGCACCTGAGATTAATTTACTTTGTCAGAACCCTCTTATGTCTGCACATCTCGTCTCAGTGACTGTAACTTTGGTATCAATGCACAGTTGTTTCTCAGTCTATGCAGCTCTCTTCAGACCATTTGTCTTTGTTTTTTTTTCTTCTCCACTTTCTTCTTTCTCTTTGAACATGTTTATGATCTCTATAGCAGTTCCAGCATACAGTATACATTATATTTTTTGCTTCACAGGGTGTCATTGCCAAGTATCAGCTATGTGCTGCCTGTTGCCAAAAATTATTCTAATAGAGCATAACCCCATTAAAATGAATTGAAGATAAAATCTGAAGGTTTATCTAAGAAATAACCTGAACCTTAGTTTCACACACGTCTCATCTGTCACCACAGCAACTCCATAGCCTTTATACAAGGGCCAGGGTGTGACATAACTCAAA